AACCATTTGCACCACCCAGGCTCTACCTCCTACTAGCTGGGTAATCTTAGGCAAGTCTTAACTTCTCTGTTCATATTAATTTGTAAACGGGGTGATATTGAAAATACCTTCCTGACAGAGTTGTAAGGATTAATGGAGTTAAAATGTGCCAAGCCCTTAGCTCAGCGCTTGGTCAATAAGTAACAGTATTGACTATGATGATCATCAGGCGGATGATCCACGGAAAGGGCTTTACTGGGTAATACATGATAAAAAGTACCATCCTGCAGGTTGGGAGGTGCAGCAAGGATTCCTTGATTAATGAATCTTCTGAGGTGGAAGCTCTTCTATAATAAAGTCAGCCATATGTGGCTAGTGTTGGGGAAGAAACTCATAAATCACACAAAGCAAGGTTGGCAGGTAGCATCTGGCTCAGTGGCAGTGCTTGACCCTGCCCCTTGCCCACATAGCCTTCTCCCAGGAGACCCGTTGTGGCTAGCTCCCTGGTGGCTAGCTGTGTGGGAGGCAGCCTGCCGAGCAGAGGCAAAGCCTGAAGTTCTCAGCACTGGCTCTCTGAGCCTTCTGTGCAAGTGGTGAGTCCTGGCCCCAGTCAAGGAAACAGAATCCACCTGCTTTCCTTGTTTCCTCTTCTTTGCAAATCAGAGAAAAAACAGTTCGCAGTCCCACACCAGGGGCTCTCAAACTTGACGGTGCACTAGAATCCTCTGGGGGGGCTTGTTAAACCAGATGGCTGGGCCCTATCCCCAGTTTCTGATTCAGTAGGTCTGGGGTGGGTCTGAGAATTGGCCTTTTTAACAAGTTCCCAGTTGATGCTAATGATGCTGGTGTGAGACCACACTTAGAGAACCACTGACTACTACCCTGTGGGACTGTGTTTAAACCTAGCTGTTTGTTCTTGGGCAAGTTTCCTCTCCTGACTGAGCATCCACTCCCTCATCCATACAGTAGGCATACCAGAGCCCACCTAATAGGGTGGTGGTGGGGGCCAGAGGGGAGAATGCATGTGGTAGCCTTATCACGATTCTAGGTACCCAGGAAATGCTCAGCCTGCATCAGCCCTCAGCGTCACCAAGGCTTTGTTACTGAGAGCTTGTCGTTTAGTTTCCTTCCAGTCGATTCTGACTCATGACGACCCCATGTCTGCAGAGTAGAACTGCTCCATAGGGTTTTCAAGGCTCTGACCTTTTGGGTTTGAACTACCAACCTTTCGGCTAGTAGTCGAGTGCTTAACTACCGACACTCCACATTCATGTGGTTCCCAGTGGAAGCATGGTGAGGAGCACAGGGGATCCCTTCTTTCCCTTGGCTTCTCCTCACAGTGTGGTGGAGTGGGGGTGTACTCACTCTGGAGCCTGGTCTTCTCCTGACTCCCCTACGTAGCTTCACCTCCCTGGGCCTCAGCTCTCCCTCCTGGTTTGGAGGGTTGCAGACTTTAATGCGCATACATACTCATCACCTGGGGCACTCGTTACAAATACAGAAGTTCTGAGTCTGCAGGTCTGCGTTGGAGCCCTGAAACAAACATTATTACACACCCCTCAAGTGACTCTGAGCAGGTTATCTGGACCACACCTTGAGAGCCACTTATTTGAAAGACAAATTATTGAAAGACAGGCTTAGTTTTCAGATGGCTTGAGAGGACAGAGATAACTAGAGAGCAAGGAAGAGGAAGAAACAGGCCCAGTCACTACTTTAGAAGTCCTTGCTGGAACACCTCCTGATCCTTGATATTCGTTCTCTCCAGGCAAGAATCACTGCATTTTCCAGGCCATCTATCTAGTCCCACTCTTTCTTTCGTCCTCCCCAAATGAAGAAAATAGAGCCTGGGAGAAATGTTCACTTGCTCAAGAAGTAGGGGGCATTTCTGTTTGGGTTTAAATGGCTCCCATAACCTCCTTCTAGAATTCTTCTGTGGCTCCAGACTAGTCTGTATCACCATGATGCTGTGTACACTGGGGTAAAAGGCCCAGGTCTCCCCTGAGCTGTCAGCCAAGTTAGTGTGTCCATTTGACTTCACCAGACCTCACTAGTCCATCCGTTATCCAGCCCAAGGCAGGCATGACGAGAATGTTATTGCAAGCTGTCTTTGCAGCATCACCTTCTGAGGGACACAGCATCTGACCCCGGGCCACAGTGACAGGCCCCACCAACAAGGAGGGCCCCTTAGTGCTTGCCTAGCCAGTAGCTTTTGTTACATGATATTGTAGTTGCCTGTGTATTCGTCTGTCTCCCTTGCTAGAATAAGTTCCTTGAAGGCAGCCATTTTTCTTATTTACATTTGTGCCATCATCTTTAGCAAAGTGCCTGACACATAGCAGGCACTCAGGAAATGTATTAATAATAGTAACAACACACATGTACTAAGCATTTAGAAAGGGCCAGATGCTTTGCAGTTGTTACCTAAATCAGGCCTCACAAAACTCTGTAGGGCTATGTTGTTGTAAGTTGCCTTTGGGCCAATTCCCACTCATGGCAACCCCATGTGTGTCAGAGTAGAACGGTGTTCCGTAGGGTTTTCAAGGCTGTGACCTTTCAGAAACAGATTTCCACGCCTGTCTGCTGAGGAGCCTCTAGCAGGTTCCAACCACCAAACTTTCAGCTAATAGTTAAGCACTAACCATCTGTACCATCCAGGGACCCCTGTAGGGTTATGAGTACCGCCATTTTACAGGTGAGGAAACCAAGACTGAGAGATGAAATAACTTATTCAAGGTCACATGGCTAGTAAGTGGTTATCAGGCACAGGAGGGGTTGGACTTGAACAAGCGCAATTTCCCTTTCACAGAATGGAGGCCCTGACTTCCCCTACGAGGTAGGGGAGGGTTGTGCTGAAGAGCTTGGCTCTGGAGGCAGAAAGAAAGGTGCTGGTGCACACAAGCATGTGAGAAGTGGTTTTATTCCAGGTGTGTGTTTCATAAAGACTAGGTCCTCAAAGACAGCTAGTGGCACATGCTTTGGTCAAGAAGAAAAGCAAACAGAATAGGGCTGAATCCCCACAAAAGACTCCTGGCAAGTGCAGAGGCTAGTCAAGACACAGGAACGAAGGAGAGACCCTCCCAAAAGCCTCCGAGCAGCAGTCCTCTTACAGTCGTCAAGAGAAGCCTGTGCTCCCCGCCCCCAAAGGGCCACACCCAAGGGCAGCCCAGACCTTTGAATCCATCCTCTAGGTAGAGGCCATCTCCCTGCTCCAGTTCTGTCCTAAGCTGCAGCAGGAGGCGACCCAGATGAACGTGATCCAAGGACCATGGAGATGGAGACCGGTGAAACCTCACAACAGAGGATGGAGATGTGTGGCCTTGCAGGTGAAGGACCCCACGCTGTGGAGTAGGGGTTCGAGGTTGCATGCAGCGGGGCACAGGGGCACTGCTGATAGGGCACTGGGGAGAGCCAGGGGGTGAGAGGACACCAGTGGACAACCCCCAGGGTAGGTACTTTGTACAAGGGAAACTTGGCTCCCGGCCCAAGGACTGTGTGGAGGGGGCAGGAAGATGGTGGTTTGGACACACAAGGGAGGGAGATGGGTGATGGGAGCTCAGGTGGATGGTGGCTCCAGTCCAGAGCAGAAAATCCTTTGGGGACCAGGGACTTCTTTAAGAAGCTGGGAAAAGCCATGGACCCTCTTCCCAGGAAAATGCAATCTTTTTTGGATAATTTCAAGAGACCCCCAGACTCTCTAGAATCCATGAACTCCCTAGGGGTCTCTGGATCCCTGGCCTGTGAAACAGTGGAGGCTCCTGGGGCTAGGTGTGTCCATCCCAGGCTGGTTCACTTTGGAGTCCTGGTACCAACAGCCTTTTGCCCAAGATCACACTGCCTGAACCAGTGGGGTAGGGGGAGAGGTGCATGTGGACAGCAGAAGCAGTTGAAAGACAAAGTCATCGGGGAGAGAGAAAAGAGGCTCAGGGGCTGCGAGAATGAAACAAGCCCCCAGCCAGCCTCTCAGCCCACAGCAATGGCTGCCCCTTCTAGGGAATGACTCCTAGGGTGCGGAGGGGGAATGAGGTCTAGGCTTCACCTGAAGGCTCCTCTAATGACTCAGGTGATGTTCATCACCCCGACTCAGTCACGCTGTGTTTACAGAGGCAAAGACCTTCGGGAAGGCAGGGGTCAGAAACTAAGAACGAGGAGGGGTTGATTAGTGGTGTGAGGTGGCTGCCCATCCTATGGGAGGTAGGACAGGGCACCAGCTGGTCATTAAGGCTTGAGGGAGAGGTCTCAGCTAACACATAGGCCAACAGAAGTGGAGTCTGTTTGATAAACATTTCTCAAGGCTGCCTCTAAAGACTCCTCTGCAGCCTCTTGCTAAGCATCCGGGGACCCACAACAGCAGGGCTTGAGGTAAAGCATTGGGCTCAGGTCCTGGGGCTGGTGAAGTGGGAGAGAAACTACCTCCGAGGAAGGAGACCTTGCTGTTTGGGGGCTTTGCTGCTCTTCTATGTTCTGCAAACTAACTATCATTTGCCCCCAGGACCCCATCCTTCCCCCACCAACGCAGCCCCCACCTGGGCTCGGCATCTCTCAGACAGGTCACCTCCTTCCTGCTCTTTACCTGCCTCTACAGGCTGCTCCTCTCCTCTCCCTCCTTCTGTCACCAGCCGTCAACCTCTCCGTCCATGTTGCCCAATGTCTCCTCTCACGCCTGGCACTACAGGGAGGCCCCATGATCCAGCTTGGCCCCTGAGTGGGCTTCTGTCCTTGCTCCCCACAGCCAACAAGGGGAGGGCCCACAGAAGGAGTGAGGGAGAGAATAAGGGCCAGGGGCACCTGCCCACTCTGCCCAGTCACAGTTCAGCATCCTGACCACCTCCTCTCCCAGGGCAAAGCTGGGACGGCAGAGAGGATATCAGCCTTGGAGAAACGTGTGTGGCGGCAGGGGTGTTTGCTGATGATTCCGGCAGTAATGTGAGGAGATGGAGACGGCCCACTTTACATTCCCCCACCCTAACCCCCCTCTGGTCCCAAAGTCTCATGCAAAAGGTACAGGAGGCTCCGGGTTACAGTCATGTATGCGGCAACAGCTGCCACTGCTGGGCCGGGACGTCGGCCTGGCACTTGTTGGTCACCAGCTGGGCAGGCTGTGTCTCTAGGCAGAGCCCGCTGACCGACTGCTGGATGAAAGAGCCTTTTCTCCTCCATTTCTAGGGGGAGGGAGAAGGAGAGGAAAACAATGATTAAAATAATAATGTCTGTATCTTCATTTTGTATGTATGTATGTAAATTACCCCTCATTTAAAACAGACTTTGTGTCCCTCATACATAGTCCCCCAACCCATCCCCACACACGTTTTAAGCCCCTCCCCTCCCAATGAGACTCTTCTGTAGTTTGCATGAAGTGACTGTTTAGACCAGACGAGGCAAAGTAGAGGCCCATAGACTGAGTCTGATCTGGAGATATATTCTGTTTGGCCTGCACCACCAACCAAGCAACCAACCAACCAACCAACCAACCAAGCAACCAAGCAACCAAGCAACCAACCAAGCAACCAAGCAACCAAGCAACCAACCAAGCAAGCAACCAAGCAAGCAACCAAGCAAGCAACCAAGCAACCAAGCAAGCAACCAAGCAAGCAACCAAGCAACCAAGCAAGCAACCAAGCAAGCAACCAAGCAACCAAGCAACCAACCAAGCACCCACCCACCCACCAACCAACCAACCAACCAACCAACCAACCAACCTACTAGTTGTAGCTGAGTCGATTCTGACTCATGGTGACCTCGTGTGTCAGAGTAGAACTGTGTCCCATAGGGTTTTCAATGGCTGATTTTTCAGAAGTACAGTAGATGGCCAGGGCTTTCTTTCAAGATTCCTCTGGGTGGATTCAAACTGCCAACTTTTTGGTTAGCATCTGAGCACATTACCTGCTTGTACCACCCAGGGACTCCTTGGCCTGTACAGTGTTTATTTAAAATCTGTCTTACTTGCCACATAAAAATCTTCATTCTAACCTCTCATTAAACACTGGGCCCAGTTTCCTCTGTTATATCAGTAGGTTGGGGCTCCCACTCTCCAGTCCGCCACAGCTGCTGTTGGTCCGTACTTTACTCCTTTAGGGGCTTACCAACGAACTCCCTATAGGCATCTGAGTTTGTGAGCCCTGGCCTAGGTGAATCTTCTATTTCTTCCAACATGATTTCTTCTCCTTGCAGCCTTAAGATTCTGACCTGGCCATAACCATGAGGCCAGTTACCTACACCCTTTAGTGGGAATGGGCTGCCATCTTTGCAGAAATGAAGATTGAGGCCAGTAGGATGGTGAGGAGGAGGACTTGAGTTCCTCTATCATAGAGTCATGAAGGGGCTCCCAGATCAGTACCTTCACCTCCTGGTGTCTCACCTTCCCCATGTTTGATAAGGAGGAGAAAAGTTGCTCCTATAGAACATTTTGGAAGTGCTTGGGTAGAGGGTGGAGTGTTATTGGAACATTTAGGAGAAGGGATGAGAGGCTGAGACCCAGGTTTCAAGGCTCAGGGAAGAATAAATAGCCAGATAGGTCTATGTTCTGTTTTTCTTCTATACAACCATCTCCCCTTTTCCTATATATATCTTGTCCACTCTAAGAGATGGGAGGTGCTCAAAACACATGGACAGAGCCCAGAGAAGTCTGAGGGGGAGGGATCTGTGTTCTTACTGGAGCAGCTAGAAGAAAGACAAGCTGCACCAGCTGCGGGCACCAGGGCTAGAGTCGCAGGGGGTCAGGGGGTGGGCAGAGAAGGGAACCCACTTGGGATGTGTACACAGGGTGGAAGGTTGGGGTAGGGGATCCTGGACTCCCCTTGGGAATGCAGGGCTGTGAGAGGTGGGGGCTGAAAATCAGCCTCTCTGGGCCCATGTGGCCCCAAAAGAGAGGGGTCCCTGCATAAAGGGCAGGCAGAATGGGTGGAAGAGGGCTTTGGCCCTCTGGGACTCACAGCATCCTCCCGCTTTGTGCTCTTCTAGTCTCTGATGTTTACCTCCAAGCAATGCCCAGCTGGGGAGAGTGTGGTCATGCCCTCCCCCAAGAGGTCTTGCTGACCACTCTGCCCACGTTGCAGGGCCCTCCGCTGGGTTCCACAGCCCATGCTTCATGCTGCCTCAATATTCTGCCCTTCATTACATAATGGCTGCTCCCTCTTCTTTCTCCCTCACTAGACTGTAAGTTCCTTGGGGCCAAGGACCATGTCCTTGTTTCATTCTTCACACCAACATGACCTGCACATTCCCTGGCATTAGGCAGGCACCCAATACACTTTTTTTAATGATGAATCAATCAATCACCCAATCATCGGGAGGTGCTCTCCAAATTGCAGTATTCTTACTTCCTACCAGCACCATCAGCAGAGTCTCAGAGCCTCACGGACTCTCCTGAACACTCAATTCTGGGCCTGGCCAGAGCATTCTCCCATCTCTTTCAGTTCCTGTAATTTCCTTGCAAGGTAGGTAGAAGAGGCTCAGAGGTGAGGGGAATGTCTGCACTGGGACCTGCTGACTCCCCACACCTGTTCTAGTTCACAAGAGCCTCTCAAACACATGAAACCCAAGGGCATTTAGAAATGGGGCCAAAGGAGGACGACGAAGGGAGCCCCAAATTCTAGAAGGCATCCATCTGGCAATTGGAGAGTTCTTCATCTTGTCCTCCTGGGAGGAGGAGAGGCATTCAGAGTACTGTGGGGCCTGGTAGAACTTTCAGGAGCAGAATGAATGGGGCCAAGGGAAATTCCTATAAGCCTTGCAGGCTAGGTCAGCACAAAGGAGAAAAAGGATACTTCAGCCCCAAAGGAGAAATATTGAGTAGAGGCTACCCTGGGAGCTACTTCCCAGCTCTGGCCTCAACAAGGAGGTGGTGGAGGTGGGCGCAGGGCTTTACCCTCTGAGATGGGTTTTCTGGGTGAAGCGGAGACTGTGAGCACTGGCCCCACTGCAGGGCAGGGGGCAGGGGACGAGCAGCATAGGGGTGGGCAGGACAGGCACATGCCCCCAATCAGAAAGAGCTTCAGAGAGTATCAGTGAGAATACTGCAGTTTGGGGAGCACCTCCTAGTGATGGGGTGATTGATTGATTAATTCATTCATTCATCATAAAACAAACATGTATTGGGTACCCACCTGTTGCCACAGAATGTGCAGGCCATGTTGGTGTGAAGGATGAAAGAAGGACATGGTCCTTGGCCCCAAGGAACTTACAGTCTAATGAGGGAGAAAGAGGAGGGAGCAGCCATTGTGTTATGGAGGGCTGAATGCTGAGGTGGTACTGAGCATGGGCTGTGGAGTCCAGCGGAGGGCCCTGCAACCCAGGTGGCCCAGCAAGCAGGGCATGGCTCACCACTCTCTCTCAGCTCTCTTACACACACACACACACACACACAGAGAGAGAGAGAGAGAGAGCCAGGCTGGAGGGAGTCTGGCTGCTTCTCCAGAATGGAATAGCAAACTGCCAGTCATCCCTAAAAAAGAGCCGATCCAGGCAAACAGAAAACGGATGAGAGGAAACACTGCAGGCCAAATTAGAGAGCCAGGCACTCCCCTCACCTCTGTACTGACCTGCAGGCTGGCCAGGGTCAGGCACAGGAGGCAACCAGGGAGGGTGGGCAGAGAAGGGTTGGAGCAGCCTCACCTTCACGTCCCTTTCCATGGGCAGCGGGGTAGTCCTCCCAGCCAGGAAGGGAGCTGCACAGAAGGGAGCCGGGTGGCTCAGTAGACCCAGCTCCTAGTTCCCGCCCTGTCACACTGCCTTGCTGTGTGCCCTGAGCAAGCGCCTTCATCTCTCCGAGCATCAGTTTCCTCCTTCACAGGTGGGTCTGTCTCCCAGGATTAATGGAGACAGCATGGGTGAGAGTGTTTGACAAATGGAAAAGGCAGTGCTCATCTGAGCCTGGTCCTTGCTGCTTAGAAATCACTGTATCGAATCTCCAGTTTCCCCAGTCAGTCAGTCAAGAAATACTTAATGAGCACCTGCTGTGTGCTAAGTTAAGACTGTAGGCTTAGGAGTCACACTGATCTGGGCTTGAATCTCAGCTCTACCCCTTACCAGCTGTGTGACCTGACATATGTTTCTTAAATTCAGTGAGCCTCAGTCCACTCACCTATAAAACAGGAATAGTATTAGGACCCTTGTCACTGGGTTGCCAAGAGGACTAGATGAAATGATCTATGTAAAATTGTTAGCACAGGCTCTGAGTACATGGTAAATGTGCTCGACTGCTAACCAAAAGGTTGGAGGTTCGAGTCTACCCAGAAGCACCTTGGAAGAAAGGCTTGGTGAGCTATTTCTAAAATCAGCCATCAAAAACCCTGTGGAGCACAGCTCTGCTTGACACACATGGGGTTGTCATGAGCCAGAATGGACTCAACAACAGATGTTGACTTAGGCCCCCACAGATACTCTCTGGAGAGCTATCTGAGTCTATATGTCTCGACCTGGGGCCGCTGGCTGTCCTGTCCCCAGGGGCTGGGGCTGCAATGTATCTGTCAGAGCAAGGAGGCTTACCTGACTTCCTTCTTTCGAGTTGCACACCTGCAGTGCGACCAGGGCCCCAGGGGAGGGGAAGGCAGCAGCCAGGCACTTGCCCTGTTGCTGGATGAGATGGTCACTGAACAGCCACTCCTGCAAGACGGGGACCAGAAAGCTCGAGTCACAAAGTATGATCAGCAATGGAGGGATAATTGCACAGATACGGGATAAAGCAAATATAACATACTGCTAACAGTGGTAGAAGCTAGGGGTGGGTGTATGGGTATTCACTGTACAACTCTTTCAATTTTTCTACATGTTTGGAATTTTTCATGATAAAATATTGCAGAGAGGTAGAAGTGAACTGGAGCTGGCTGGAGGGAAACTGAAGAGGCACCAAGGAATGGTGGAGGATGGGGGAGAAAGAGAGGACATGGGACCAGAACAGCCAGGGAGCTGGACAAGGCTGGGAGTCTCCATGACCCGCTCTGGCTTTGATTGGTACACGGACACTCATATGCTGCCCCCATGTGTACACACCGCATGTGCACACACACAGTCCTCAAGGCCCTGCTGCCTGGGGTACAAGCTGCATCCCAGGAGAGAGCTGGGTGCTGTTTGGACACATTTCTCTCTCTTCAAGAAGAAAGCTGGTAGTGCACAGAGGGTGAATGTGTGACAGACTGGAAAGGGGATGGGAATGTGGCAGGAGCAGACCCAAGGTGCAGAGTGGAAGGGGACAGCTTGCAGGGCCCTGGGAAAACGGGTTTATGGAGCATGTAGACAGAGAGGATGAGACTGAGCAGAGGGAAGACCCTCACCCCACTCCTGGGCAATGCCACTGGCTCCTCCCACTCCCAGTCCTGACCGGAGGTCCTCAGCGGCTTACCTGGGCTGCAAGAGGGTTCTTGGCAGACCCTCTGCAGATCCCCATTCCAAGCAGGGTGTCACCAGCCGTGTCCTGGCCCTGGGATTCTAAGCAATTAACACCCTGCTTTATGATGCCAGGGAGCACTTCCTTCTCCGGGACACTGAGGGAGAAGGCAGCGGTCAGGGTGGTCCTCTGTCTGCTGCCCCAGGATTCCCCACTCCCTCTGCCAGAGGGCAGTATCCAGCCCGCTCCCAGGGCACCAAGGACTCAGTGGAAAAGGCCCTCCGGGGCCACAGGGGAGATGAGCAGATGACAGTAAGGGAACAGGAAGACTGGGCCGCAGTCCTTAATGAGCTCTTCTGAGCAGCTCTGCGAGGCCAGGCCCAGAGACACAGAGGCCCCTGGGGTAGAAAGCACCAGCCAGAACAGAGGCCCCTGGGGTAGAAAGCACCAGCCAGAACACAGGGCCCCTCAGTCCAGAAAGAGGAGAGCCTGGAGCCTAAATGTGGGCTCAACAACCAATCTCAAAATGACAGGGAAGGGGTTGCTTTGAAGAGGCAATTTAAAATACATAAATACGACAACGTGTCCAGTCTCACCAATGATCAAATACAAACTGAATAGTTACCACTTCTTACCATATATGTGTGTGTTTATATATATACATACACATATTTTTTTTTAATGACAATGCCCAGCGTTGGCAACAGCTTTGAGAATGAATCTTCTTATGCTTTGCTGGTGAGGGCATAAATTGGCCCAACCTTTCAGGAGGGCAATGCGGTATTATGTATCAAAGGCCTTAAAAACATATACACCTTTGACCTAATTATCCCACTTCTGAGAATGTATTATCCTAGGGAAAGAATTATAGATGTGTACAGAGATTTCAGTTAAAAGATACTTCTTTCAGTGTGGTTGATTATACTGAAAACTGGAAATTCTTAGATATCCAACAATAGGGGATAGGCTAAAGTAAATTTTGATTCATATATAGGATGGAAAACTCTGCAGCCATTAAAAATGACTCTGTGATCCAAGATTCCACAGAAGAATCCTGATCAAAACGGAGAAAATGCAGAATAGAATTTCAGATTTTCACGGACTCTAGACTTTTGGAGCCATGGAGGCTGGATGAATCCTTGAAACTATTGCCCTGAGATAATCTTTAAACCTTAAACCAAAACTATCCCTCTGAAGTCTTCTTAAATCCAAATAATAGTTTAGCTTAACTAGTAAAGAAAATCTACCTTTAACATTGTGCGTTTTCAAGATCTATCTATAGGTAGGGGATCAAATTGACAACAGCAATGCAAAAGATTAGCTAGGAACCTTACGGGAGAGTGAGTTCACGTTAATGGGGGAGGAACAACTCAGAAAAGGAGGGTGAGAATGGCTACACAACTGGAAGAACGTAATCAGTGTCACTGAACTGTACACGCAGAAACTGCTGAATTGGTGCATGTTCTGCTGTGTATATTCTCAATAACAACAAAATAAATAAATAAAATTTAGAAAAAATGACTGGAAGAATATCAAGTAATGTGAGAAAATGTTCACAACATACTGGGAAGCAAAACAGTCATGTTTCAAAATACTATATATTATTAAAACATTTTATATGTATAGGTAAATATGCTTAGACACACACACACAATGACATAAGAAACATTGTCGTGTTGTTGTTAGATGCCATAGAGTTGCCCCCCAATTCATGGTGACCCCATACACAACAAAACAAAGCACTGCCAGTCCTGCACCATCCTCATGACTGGTTGTGGATCAGACGGTTGTGATCCATAGGGTTTTCATTGGCTGATTTTTGGAAATACATCGCCAGGCCTTCCTTCCTAGTCTATCTTAGGCTAGAAGTTCTGCTAAAACCTGTTCAAGATCATAGCAACAGGCAAGCCTCCACTAAAAGGTGGGTGGTGGCTGTGCACGAGGTGCATTGGCTGGGAATCAAACCCAGGTCTCCTTCATGGAAGGCGAGAATGCTACCAAGGAACATTGTCTTACCTTGTGGGTAGTAAACCTAAGAAGGCTGTTGCCCCCCGCCCCAGCAGCATGCAGGCTTGTATCCTTGGGTTTTTTGGAATATGAATCCACCATATGGATGACAGGGGACCAACAGGAGTTAGAGTGTCCTTGTGCCTGATCTTATCTGCCTCCTGTTAACTTCTGTTCAAGAGAACCTGGGCCTGGGGACCTTCATAACATTACTGACGTTCTTAGATGTGGACATCCTGCAGGAGCTTGACCAAACCAGGTCTTCCTTCTTCAGGGCTGATTCAAAGCCCAAGGAACCCTAGAACTGATGGCTTTCATGGATCCTGGGGAGACACCTTCACTTTCTCTGCCACACTCCAGGCAGCAGGAAGACTCTCCCCTTGCAAGGTCAGGTCGTGCAGCTCTAGAGCAGAGGTTACAAACTGCTGGCTCCCAAGCCAAATCTGACCGCCAAACACATTTTGTCTGACCTGCACAGTGTGGTTGCTGTTGCTTTTAATTACTTGGCAATACTAAAAAATATGTAGGTTTCACAGAAAAATTTAGATTTCCAGGTTCTCTTGGAAAAACAAAAGGACGCTCTGGTGGCACAGTGGTTAAGAGCTTGGCTGCTAACCAGAAGGTCAGAGGTTCAAACCCACCAGTGGCTCCAGGGGAGAAAGATGTGGCAGTCTACTTCTGTAAAGATTACAGCCTTGGAATCCCTATGGAACAGTTCTATTCTGTCCTATAGAGTTGCTATGAGTCGGAATTGACTCGAGGGCAATGGGTTTGGTTTTGGTTTAGAAAAACAAGAAGGTTGGGCCACAGCGAGCCTGTGCTGGACCACTGCAGTGAGTAGCAGCTGCCTCTCTGGGTGGGGCTTTTGCATCCCAGTTTGCCACAGTCTCCACAACTCTCTATTGTCTCATACCCACCCACTTTACTTATTTCCATAACCTGTTTGACCACTCTAAGGATTTGAGTTTACAACCCCTGCTAGGGCCTCTATTATCTCTATCACTCTGCGAGATGTTGCGGGACAACAGCTCCACCCTCTCTGGTTCATCCTCGGGCAATTTGCTATATTTCTGCTTTCTATAGGGATAAGTCCCCTGCTTGCTGAGGCCTCTTTGAGAACTGTGCTCTGTCCCCTGCTTGCTGAGGCCTCTTTGAGAACTGTGCTCTAGGAGAATGCAGTGAAGGCTCCAGGGACTGTTCCAGACCCTCCTGCTCTCTTCCTTGCCCCATCCCCTGTTGTTTGGTGAGGTAGGCAAGCTAGTCAGCTTTCAGTGTGGCAATGGCCAGTGGCACCCACTGATGCTTATGGAGGAAACCTTGGGCTCAGACAGCAGCCTCAAGACCAGATGCAGCTCCTGAGGTGTCCATGGGTTACTGAATCCCTGGAGCGGCTGAGATGGCTATCATCACTAACCTCCCCAGCTCCCTGCTAAGGCCAAGCTAAGCTGTCCTGTTCGTAGGTAGCGCTCTTGAGTCTGCATCTGCTTCCAACTCTATGGATCTCCTCCAGGCAGGGCTGCCATTAGCCCTTACAGTGCCTTTGTAGAAATAGCAATAGGTGCCCCTTCCCCAAGACACTCTACTTCCATCTGTTAGAAAACTGTCAAAATATACTGGTTTCGTTAGAGGAGAGTTTACTGCCATCTTCCAGGAATTGTTGTAATAAGCATACAATGTCTACTGTGTGACCAGCACCCTCGCAGATGTGGTGTGGTTGTGCAATGCATAGCCTGCACAACTGTTCCTGGCAGTCTTAGCAAAAGTAACAAATTAACAGTTGCGGAGGCCAGCTGCAGAATTCTGACCTTGATAAGAAGCAGAGCCCTACAGGATCGCAGGCAGGCCTAGGAAAACAAAGGCCTCTTCCTTCAGCCTCCTCAAAGAGTTTCCCCACTGACCATCTGCAAGTGTGGACAACTACTAAGATCCCCTGTTTGGATCCCCTGTTATCATTTGCACTCAGAGATCTCCTTTCTAACCAATAAGTTGATCCACTCCTGGCTCCCCACCCTGAGAATTGAGGCAAAACATGACTGAGTTGGCTAGGGGTGAGCCATCTAATAGAATCCAGTTGTGGGGTTTCTATCTTAATAACAAAAAACATTTTGTTAACTTTCACACAGTGACAGAACAAATGGAAGGTGACTTATGTTCCCCATTTAACATAGCTGGTTTCATCCACTCTCCTGTTTTGTGATTAATCCATGTTTCTGATAGTTATAAAATACTTGTTCCTCTTGGTCCTCAGGTGATGTTATGGGACACTGTGTGTATGCGGGACTGGGGTGTGGTGACGTGGACACATCCCTGGCCTCCCTGACACCTCCCACAGGCTCCCCCCGCCCCATTCCCACCCCCTAAGGCTAGAGTCTACGGACTCCATCCAAATGTTGTTTGAACTCTGTCAGAATGTAAAGCAATGACTCTTCTTTTTGCCCCAATGTTTCAAAATAAATAAATAACACATCGGAATGAGTACTGTCCCCTTAAAAGTACTCATTTCAGGAAGCTCTTCATTTATTACATTTTTTAAAATTAATGTTCCTCTCTTCACAGCTGTTGCCTGGGGAGCTGGGGTTATCCAGGCTGCCAACTTTCTTTAAGGATGCTGCCGTTGCTCAAATTGTTTTGGAGTTCCTTGGAAATTGCTCCTAGAGTCAATTTAGTCTTGTTACTTTAGTGCCACGTATTATTTAGGGCCCACAATTATATTATCTAGGTTTTGTCTGACCTGCACAGCATGGTTGTTGTTTTAGCTTATTTACTCGATTTGGCTACACCTCACTATGGCTGCTTTTTAAAAATCAAGTCTGTCCTTGAAGGACAAAGATGTACCTCCTTTGAGGATACACGAGCTCTGAGGACAACTCTGAAAGAGAAGGAATGTTCCGGAAAGCCACGGCAGCATCCTTGGGAGAAAGCTGGCTGCGGTGGAATAACCTCAGTTCCCCAAGGTGACTGCTGTAGAAGGGAGAACGCTAATTTCAAAGACAGTATTTAGGCGTATTGATTATGCAATTTATTCATTCAATTGAGTGCCTACTTTGTGACAGACACAGTCTAGATGCTAGAAACAAAGCAGTGAACAAAACAGAGAAAAGCCTCTACCCTCATGGAGTTTATGGTCAAGTAGAGGGAGGCAGACAACAAGAGTAACTGGCCAAATATAGAGTAAGCTGGATGGTGATAAGGACTACAGAGAAAAATAAAACAGGGAATGCTGGGGAGGGTGGTGGTGCTGCAAATTTGGAGTGATCAGGGAAAGTCTCCCTGAGAAGGGAACATCTGAGTCAAGACCCAAAGGAGGTGAGGTAATAAGCCATGTGGATGTAACCAAGACACTGGAAAGGATTTTAAAATAAGAAAAAAAAGAATCTCCTCTACCCCACCCCCAACCATTACTGCTTATTAAGCACAGTCCTGTTTAGAATGCACAGCTGTTTACATGTAACTACAACCCTAGTGTACACACCACTTGCATTTTCCTTCCTCATTTGCTAGAGCAAACATTTCCCCATGTTTTTTCACAGTCTTTGTGATTATAATATTAATGGCTGCATAATATTTGTTTAAATTGATGTATGGAGATTCACTAAACCCAGCCTTATAGTTAGTTGTTTCTCCTTTTTTTTCACAGCAGCAGAAAAGGCTGCCATGAATATCTACTTGCCAACAGCTTTTTGTTTTGGTTGCTTTATTTCCTTGGGATAAATTCCCAGGAGGGAGAGAACAGGGTCATAGGGGATGAGTGTTTCTGTGGCCTTTGCTACATAATGCAGTGTTGCTTTCCTAAGGGGACAAGGTCCGCTTCTACCTTTAAGGCCCCGTCTGTTAAAAATTCAGCTCCTACCGCTCCTAATTTATAACTCTTGGTAATGGGGGAGCCTTCACGTGAAGATAAATACCAGCAGCCAGAAAGAGCCTGACTGTCTGGAATGGAAGATCCAACGGTGGTGGTGGTCCCCCAAGCCACCACTGCCATAACC